TTTTTTTTTTTTTTTTTTTTTTTTTTTTTTTTTTTTTTTTTTTTTTTTTTTTGCTTTTGTGTAAACTCACATGCACAATTTAATATGTGGTTAAATGTCTTTTTCCAATTTTTATTTTTCACAATTTCTTTTTATTTTCACAATTTAAAACAAATAATGTATTGTGGAGATATTGATACAAATCCTAAGTCTTTGACTTTTGAATTTTAACTCATAATATTTTTTTAAATTATATTTTTAACATTTACTCCAATAATAATAATAATAATAATTTGTCCAAAAATATATATAAATAAATATCGACTATCACAAAATAAAACGTAGGGAATGTGACTATCAAAAGCTTATAATAATCAAAACATTCAAATTAAACTATGAATTTAACTATTTTTCGATAACAAGAAATATGCATTTTCAATACGACCACTTGACTTTAAACACTTAAAAACAGACGTGTGGATTTTATTTAATATCTTGTCTTTAATTTTTTTTTCAACCATTAATGAATTATGGTTAATATTGAACATTTAGAAGTAGGAAGATTCAAATCTCTAATCTATTAATTAATGATAGTAGGAATGTTCGTGGTTTGAATTGGGTCGAGTTGACACATTTTTTAGACATAACTATTAAGTTGGAGTCAATAAACTCAATCCCGTTGAGTCATTTATTTAAATTTTTGTTTTTGAATAAAATTAAAACATTAATTCATATATTATTATTTAGTTAATTTATTTTTAAATTTTAACGACCAGATCCACAGCTAGCACATATTATCTTCTTTGGGCTTTCCTTTACGAGCTTCCCCTCGAAGCTTTACTGAAGGTTTCTACACCCTTTTAAGCAGTAGTTTGTTCTCCTCCCAACCATTTAAAGTTTAAATATATTTTTTAATGGATATTATTGAAAATTTTTAAAAATTAATGATATTTTTTAAATACAATACAATATTTATATATTTTATTAATTTAACTTAAAATTTTAGGAATAAAATAATAATGTAATTTGGTGGAGGCAAGCACGTGCGGAAGTCACGTGAGCATTAACAGAAACCCGATTCCTTTTCAACCACACGTTCACACCTAATGGATATTTAAAAAATAAAATAAAATAAAATAAAATTAGATAAATCCAAAATTATGTAAAGATTCTGCTTACTGAAATGTGTTCACACTGGAGATTCCATATTTACCCCTTTTCACATTGCTTTTAATATTATTACTTTTTTGCCTTTCACCTTTTTTTTATTATTATTATTTTTTGGATAAAAATGGAATTTGATTTTGTTTGGCTGGCTCGGCTTATTCGGCTTGCTTGCTTCAGCTGGCTTCCTCTCCCATTTATTTAGGGTTTATTTGAAGAATAAATTAATAAAAATACTAAAAAATTTGTGCTTTCTCTAAAAAAAAATTAATAAAAAAAGGATCGGCTAATGGAAGCCGAGGCGTGGACGTGGCGGCGCGCATTAAAATGCAATATGTATGATTAAAGAAGTGAATGGGAGGAAGCCACGTGTCACGGGTATAGCTGCAGTCACTCACCGCCTTGACTCTTTAACCACTCACAATTGCTTTGATTTCTTCAACTTTAAAACCGGCCAGTCCCTTTCCAGGTAAACAACTGCCACGTGTCCCACTTTCTTCATCCTACGTGGCACCCAATCCTCCACTACCCCTTTTATATATAACTCATCCACCTAATCTCCACACGATTATTACCCAAAATTCTCAAATTCAATTTCGCTCTCAAAAATCACAAATGGGCAACTGTCTGCGGCGGGACGGCGCGGCGGCGCGTTGGGCAGGCGAGGAGTGGGACTTTCTCGCGGCGGATGTGGAGGACGGGGGGAAAAGACAGGGATCCACGGCGGCGTCCACGGAGGTGAAAATTAAGATCACGAAGAGGCAGTTGGAGGAGCTGTTGGGGAAGGTGGATGTTGAGGAGATGTCCGTACAGCAGGTTTTGGCTCAATTGATCAGTGCCGGCGAGTCTCGCCACCGTTCGTGGCGCCCGGTGTTGCAGAGCATACGGGAAGTTGACTGATCGTCGCCGGGCGGTGGCGGCAGTGATGACCGTGAGTGTCGGCCGGAAATGGGGTGGGCGCCATGGGAGAGAAGGTTGGAGAAAGCTTAGGGAAATTGAATGTACATTTTGTATATTAATTATAATATAGTTTTTAGAATATAATTATATTATATGGAGCATAGATTTCCACTTAAATTTTGTCCTTTTATTAATACAATAATTAGTGAAATGATTATTGTAATAATAAGGTGAAAGTTTTGATGTATTTAATATTAATTAATGAAGATTATAAAGTCCAGTTAAGTTTATCTAAATCTATTTGAATGTCAAATTTAAATATTCAAGCAAAAGTCAAAATATTAATTAATAATTGTTGTAATGATAAATTTATTATTACTCAATAATTTATATTTATACCGGCCTAAATTTTATTTTGATCCGAGTAAGAAAAAGATAACAATAAAGAAACAATAACAATAAATGTCGTCCTTTTTTAGTTTAATTTATGCAAACAGCTCACACTGCTAACAAACAGCCTACAAATTCCCGGCTAACAAATATTGTTCTTCCTTTAAAACGTGTCACTGGGGAGAGGTTTCAACACCCTTATACTTCGTTCCCCTCTTCAACTGATATGGGACCTTACAATTCGTTCCCCTCTTCAACTGATATGGGACCTCACAATCCACCTCTTGAGGGGCCCGCATTTATTCCTCAACTGATATGGGACCTCACAATCCATCTCTTGAGGGGCCCTCATTCCAACGGGCATGGTGGTGTCAGACTCTGACACCATTTGTAAATCCAACCCCACTACTAGATATTGTCATCTTTCGGATTTTCCTACCAATTTTGAACGGAGAATCTCATTCATTTCATTTACCACCATTTTCGACATCCACAACTATTGAAATAAAAAAAATAAAACGTTCATGTTTGAATGCTCTACTACACATAACTTATCTTTTTATTCTCGAGTTCGACAGGGAACAAACGACGCAACACAATGAAGCTGAAATCCTGTTTTCCTCTGTGGTTCATGATCACCATAGAATGTGTATATAATAAGTTATGACAAAATCAAATCTCAAAACAGACAAAGAATAGAAAGCTAACAATCTAAAAAGGGCTGCCTTCAAATGGTACCAAAATTGAGACACAGCTCCCATTAGAATGATACAACAACAACAACACTCATGAAGGTTTCTAAGTGAATTTAATGACAAAAAAACATAAAAACATAAAAATCAAAGCCACCACTTGGATCTGTCATCACCTGCAGTTGCTCTACTCTTTGATCTCATCAGCTTCATTCTGACTTAGAAACAGTGGCAACAAATATGATCCACTTTTGTGAGGAGCACAATGATCATAATCTTTGATTCATCTCAAGAGAAAACAATGTTGTAATTTATGAATGATTATCAGAAGTGTGATGATTTGGTTCCTTGGAATCTCCTGAATGTGTCTGAGAAGGCATAGCTCCCAGGATCATCTGGCATGTCCTGAAATGGCAGTTTAAGCAAATCGTCGGAGACACGAGTTAGATGGGTATATCACCTTTTCGGTTCTAATCTAATACACAACAGTTTGGTTTGGTTCGGCATGACCAGAAGTTCATTGCCCAAATGACCATTCAAATTAGTTCACTTGCAACGTATGAATTTTCAATTTTGTGTTCGACAAGTCCTTTAATTTTCAGTTGTGTCTAATAGATCTAGTTCCTACTCTCACCAGATGTTTGAACCAAAGGAGAAAGTCTAGTACTATGAAAACAAGACTAGTTTAATCCTACGGGAACTTTTAAGATTTCAATAAATCAAACGGAGAAGAGAGAGAAGTGTCATACTTGTCGAAATCATGTTCCCGAGTTTTGATTTCACTCGACCATAGTAAAGGGTCAATGTTTTTGGGTAACAATTCTTGTTGTTGACTCTTCTCTGTTAGCCACTGCTCCGCTCTCTCGCACTCCCCAAGGATCTGGAGAAAAGTGAAGAGTTCATGAGAGAACTCAAACAAAACGAACTACGAGTAGTAACAGTAGAGGTCGTTAATCGTTACCAATGCTCGAACTTGAGGTGAAAGTGAATCCCCAGTGTTCCTATAGTCGGAAATACGCTTTAATAGATGCGTTTTAGCTTGTGCTCTAGCTTCTTCGTCTTCGTATCGGTTCACTATAGGATCCACCAACTAACAATGGTAGAGTAGGGTAAGCAAGGAGAAGAGAACATAAAGAAGTTAAATAACTTTGTATGATACAACAGAAATAGAAATAACCTTCTTAAGGTCATCTAACTTAGAAGAATAAGCACTCTCAGTCTCATCATCTCCATCCTCATATAGCCAATCCTCTGTTTGCTGGAGGGTTGAGGAGATGCCTTCTCTCTCTTCATCACTAGCGAAACTCCGATATGTGTTGACAAGCTATTCAAAAACCACGGGTGATCGTTATTTATATACTGTAATACCAATAAAACTCGAGTTGCAACGTTAGATTTCTGTAAAGATCAAACGTTCGGGGTTCTACATAGAGCTTTACTTAAAGGGAAAGTCATACGGATACGAAATCACACAACAATGTGAACTTTCATTGAAACTAATGATGCTTTCATGATCAAACAATGACAATCAATAGTTCGATCTAAAACCCCGATGGAGTCGAAAGAATGTAGCAATAGCATTATAAGATTGAGTTCCATGTTTAGTTCACAAATCCATTGAAATAGGATATTTACCTTATTCCTCATCTCATAGACGTACGACTCCAAAGCGTTTTTCTTATCTTTGGCTCGTTCCATATTTTTATCCTGTTGGGCCAGTTGGAGTTCTCTTTCTCGAGCTTCTGAGAGCTCAGCCTTAGTCATTCCACCATATATGTGTTCACTAACTGGTATCTCAATCCTCCTTGTGCTTTTACCTTTTCTTGTAAGGTCAAACTGCAAGAACACAATAAATTAATACATTTGAAGACGGTGTGTAACAGCCCAAGTCCATCGTTCGCGGATATTGTCTTCTTTGGGCTTTCTCTTTTAGGCTTCCCCTCAAGATTTTTAAAACGTGTCTGCTAAGAAGAAGTTTCCACACTCTTATAAAGGATATTTCGTTCTCCTTCCCAACTGACGTGGGATCTCACAATCCACCCCTCCTTTCAGGGTCCAGCGTCCTTGCTGGCACATGTCTAATTTTGATACCGAGTGGATTGTGAGATCCCACATAGGTTGGGGAGGATAACGAAGCATTCTTTCCTCTTCCTAGCAAATGCATTTTAAAAACCTTGAAAGAAAACCCGAAAGAAAAAACTAAAAAAAGACAATATTAGCTAACAGTGTGCTTAGGCTTGGGCTGTTACAATTAACTGCAAACATTGATACATATGAAGCTTTTGAGTGCTGATAAAGGGTTGTCTTCAATACAATCTAGCTTTACCTCGGAATGGGGAGAATCAGCGTGTTCGGTCTCCATTTTTTCTGTGTTTGAATGAGTAGCATCTCTCCTTTGTTCATCCACATTATCCTCTACGAACTAGATTCATAATTGATGTAAATACAGAGGAAAAAACCCTTAAATAGTTGGAAATCTGATGGAAAAAAGATATAATACTTACTGCAGCATATTCAACAATAACAATGCCGTTCATATTCAATTGGACTCTAACTTTAACCCTTCCATTCAAGTTGTTTGTACCTTGGACAGGACCAACCTGCATCTCAAATTACTTCACATTTAAGAATCAATTCCAAACCGTAAAAAATAGAAACTAAAAACGGAGCAGAAACAGGTTACGACACCCTTTAAAGTAGGCTTACGAACACTCGGACCGTTCAAATGCTTTCCAACTCCACAAGAACTACTACTTCAATAATATAAGATAAAAGTAAGGAGCATAAAACTGAACATACTGTAAAACAACAAATTTTGGAAGATATGCCAGGGGGTAGTTCATCCAGATCAGTATAGACTGCTTCTAAATGGAATAAACCGTTCCGCTGCAACGACAGAACTTTAGTACTCGGAATGTGCTGCCCTTTGGGAAATAGTACATTATTTAAGCCCAAGCTAATTGGACCCGCATCCGATGAGAAGCCAATGGAGAAAGGGTATGAATCCTGAACCTGCAATCATCGTCGATACAGCATTAGCATTCGTGCGACTATAACCCCACAAAATGATAATATAGAGAAGAAGTAGATAAAGAAAAACACGCAATAGAAATCGATTAAATCATGTAATACAAGAACACGAAAGACAACGTTTATAATTATGCCATGCTGGCCAGTGCAAGCTATAAATCTCAGGCAAAGTACAGACCTCATACTCTCTGACCCTGAAGACGGGGCTAAGCATTGCACACTGTAGAGCGCAACCACGAGCTACGCATTCACTAGCATTAAGTTTGCGACTCGGTTCCTTTTTAAATACAGAGGTCAATAACCTAGTTATCGCAGGGACCCTCGACCCCGATCCAACAAGCTCAACAGAATGAATCTTTTCTACAGTTAATCCTGCATCAGCTAAGGCTTTGGTACAAGGAATACTAATCTTCTCCAATAACCCAGAAGCAAGCTTTTCAAATTCTTCTCTTTTGATAAATCCCTTAACGTCTTTCTCGTCCATAAGACATTCGATATTAAGAGGCGCCTCTAAATTTGCACTCAAAACTTTCTTCAGTTTCTCACAAGCTGCTCGTAATCTGGTAGAAGCCTTGACATTTGAATTTACATCTATATCATAGTTCTTCTTAAATTCTGCAACAAAGTGGCTGAACAAAACCTCGTCGAAGTCTCTACCTCCTAAATCTCTATCATAGGTATGGGACATGATCCTCATATGTCCAGGCTCGAACGATACGATAGAGACCTGGGTATCACAATGACCAACATCAACAAATGCAACATATATTGGTGCTGCATTTGTGAAATCCGATTTATAAATTCCATAGCTAAGTGCTGTTGCAGTACAGTCATGCATGAGCCTCAAGGGCTTTAAACCAGCAATAGCAGCAGCGTTCCAATATAAACGCCTCTGCAAATCCGTAAAATATGATGGAATACCAATCACACAATCTGAAAATGGTGCTCCCAAATTTTTCTCAGCTACATCTTTCAAATGTGCAAAGAGCATTGCCATGATCTGAACTGGTGTAAATGTATGAGTCTCCCCTAAATATTTCACGTTAACCAAAATGCTGCCGTCGAGGGCTTCAGATGTAATGAAAGGAAGCATTTTAAGATCCCTTTGAACATCTGGCTCACCGAAGTTACGTCCAATCAATCTCTTTACCTGAGATATTGTGGACCTTGGGTTCATTGTTGCAGATGCAGCACCTGCAGACCCCAAAAACCGCTGTTTTTCCCCAAAACATATCACTGCAGGGGTTTCTCGTTGTGATTCCTCGTTCAGCAAGACATCAATACCACGTTGCCTCGACACAGCAATAACACAATTCTCGTTTCCAATATCAAAACCTACTACACTCATCTCTGCTGGTCAGGTATATTAGCTTTCAAAAAGAACTGAAATAATAAACTCTCAATCCAATTATTTTCGGAAAAAAGTCGAGTTATCGACCAAATAACTGAATAATCACCAAGTTCTTCAAAAGAACGCTTCAGAAACCAATGATCACATAAATAACTGCATAAATATGAGATCAACCAATCAGTAAAGAAGCTTGAATTCAACTTGAACACAATTAAACTATCAAAGAAAAGAAAAAAAAATGAAAATCCCAGGAAAAGATCCAGTTGATTATGGAATCAAATAACACAGACGACGAACTCAAAGATCCAAGTTAGTGCTATCATCAAATAATCTCCAAATTGTCAATTTCAATGTAAAGGAGAAAGAAACAATTTAATTCTAAATAATTACAAATCCGTATCACATTGCCATGATATTGTTCCATACAAACAGCCCTAGCGAAGCTCAACAAAATTCTACGAAAGAAGTCGCCATTGAATTCCTAAATTGATGCAGCGAATGAACTTACATTGAGCGCCAAGAAAATCAGAATTCCAAACCGAAGAACTCACATAATGGTCACTCAAAACTAATCACAAGAGAAACATTAGAACAAACCCATTAAGACCTACCTGAGGGCGGGCTCTCAGAAGCTCACAGCGGCCGGAAACACCACCGGCACGGCAATCGGAGTCGGAAAACGGGTATGAGAGAGAGACACACACACTTTTCTCGTAAATTAGAGAGAGGGAGGGAGAGGGAAAGGGGGAAATTCGAGGGTTCTGTTACGAATTCGATCGGCTGGGCGACAATTGTGGGAAAATTATATATGGATACAAAAGCTCGGGTTTGAGAATTCCTTGTCGCAGGGTCGCCGCACAGCAATTGTTTCTTTTCCTGGAATTTGACTACGAATTTCTTCCGCTCAAAAACAAATTTCTCTTCAATTTACAGAAATCACTACACAAGCGTTCCTATAACTCCAATGAATCAGAATAAATTTCTTAATTTAAATTTATGGAACTCATAGTCAATTTAGGAATTTAAAAGATTAATCTCATTCTTCTTTTAAATTCCAGTCGATCTCATTTTTTAATTTAAAATTTGAAAATTCAATTAAAAAATTTTAAAAATACTTCCAAATTTAAAAATTAAAAATAAATAAATAAAAATCGTTAATATTTTATTTAAAAAGTTTTAAACAATACCCTTTCTAATTTTAAAAATGATTTCAAAAAAATAAATAATTTTTAAAAGTTTTATTAATACCTTTAAACGTTTTTAGTAGTTGAAATAGATTTTTATAACTTTCTATTTTAAAAATATCTATAAATTTTAAAAAATAATATTAAAAATTTTAAAGATAATTTATAGGTCGACAGTAATACTTTTTTAATTAAAAAATATTGTCGAGATATTTTTTTATATATATTTTTAGATAAAATATTTTTATTAATTACTTTTTCAACCTTCTTTCTATTAATTATTTTACTATTTTTTTTCTCTCTTATTTATATTATTAATAATTTTTTCTTCATACGTATTTAATTTAATTTAATAATCTTTTTAATTTTTATTTAATTTCTCTTTTGATATTTTCGGAGTTTGTAATTTTGTTAACTATAGCTATCATATTTTTAGTAAGAAATAAATTGTTAAAATAAAAGAAAAAACATTACTATAAAATAAAATATATTATATTTAGTTGTTTATTTATGATTATTATTATTTTAATTAAAAGTTATATTTGTATATCATTTAACCCTCTATTTTAATTAGTTAAAGATATGAGAGAGATAATTAGTAATTAAATTCTGAAGCTATAAATTTTTTTATAATTAAACTAAAAATATAATGGTTAAGTTATGATTTTAAATATAGGATCCAATAGATAGGAGTGTACATGGTTCGAGTTGGGTTGATGAATTTTTTTTTTTGACCCAATACTCGAGTTGGTTACATTGGTAACCCAACCCAACCCAAAAGGTTGGGTTCGGGTTGTTAAAAAAAAATATTTTTTTAAATTTTTTTTATTTATCAACAATTTATAATTATTTTTTTAAACAAAGTTTTATTTATTTACCATTTGTAATTATTTGGATACAATCTTAGATAAAAGATAATTAAAAGGTAATGAACAAACACAAATCAATCTATAATTATTCATAACAAAAAAAAATCAATCAAGAACAACGAACGAAAATTATAACATAGTAACATAGTTCAACATTGTTATCAAATAAAAGACAACTAAAATATACACTGGTTGAGAATTGTTTAACGTAAGAAAAATATAAGGATAGATCATGAAATAAAAAAAATAATAAAAAAGATTAGTTTAAAAATATTATATATTACAAAAATAATATATATATATATATATAGATAGTGATATAATAATGTGGAAAAAAAGATAATAAATAATATATATTATAATTAAAATAGGAAAATAAAAAATATATATATAAATTGTGATATAACAACGTTTGATAAAAAAAAAATAATAGATAATATATATTATAATTGAAATAGCCTCGAATGTACGGGTGTTAGAATTCCTGGTATTTGATTGGTGTCGCATGTGATTGTTTTAATTTAGGACAAAGTAATAATGTAAATTTTTTAATATATTTTAAATACTTTTACTTAGTTCGGGTCAACTTGAGGGTTTCATCTCATAAATTCAAAATCGAACTGAGTTAGTTCGGGTTCAGAAAAAATGAACCCAAACCAACCCAAAAAGCTAATCCAACCCAACCCAACCCAATTCAACTTTTATAGTTCGGGTTGGGTTGGGTTGGTCTTGGTTGTTGAGTTTAATGTACACCCCTATCAATAGATGACAAAAATTGTATTATTTTAATATTTAATATATTAAAATAAATATATCATATTAAATTTATATTTAAATATCGTAAAATATGTTAGTTGAATGTACTTTTTCATAATTATTTTAATATTTAATATATTAAATTTTATTAAATATTAATTTACATACTTCAAATTAATTATATTTTTTTATATTTATATATTAAATATTTATTTGAACCTTCCAATTTTTTCTTCCTCCAGCTAACTTGATTGTTTCCGAAATATTATAAATTAAAAATAGAATCTTACGTGTTGGTATAAAATTTATTAATTAAATTTTTATTTAATTATAGGTGATTATACTGTAAAGTTTTTATGTACATAACACAAATTGTGTCCATGAATATGATAATTACAACTCGATCACTCACAAATTATTTATAATTAGGTCAAAAGTCAATTATTTATCTTCCAAAAGTTTTCAAAAGTGATCGATACTCTCATTCGAATATAGTCTCAGTTCATCCATGTAAGAGTCCAAGCGCATATTGTCCTTTTTGGGATAGATACTCTCAAAATGTTTCGTTCCCCTCTTCAACTAATGTACGATCTCACAATCTCCTCCTTTCGGGATCCAGCGTATTCGTTAACACTCGTTCCTCTCTCCATGTGATCTCACAATCTACTCCCTATCAGATCAAAGGTTCTGCACCGTTTTTTTTTTTCAAGCAATGTGATGTTGCTTCCGTTTTTCATGGCGCGGGAGGTTCAGGAATGGAGGAAAAATCTGGAACTTTTACTTTACAAACAAAAGACAAATGGAAATCTTTTGACAAGTTGCTCTTCTTTTCCCCACACACAAAACAATTTCAAAAAGGTGCGGTTTCATCTCTCTTTAATCATTATTCTCAAGATATTGCTGGAAGCAATCGGACGCACTCGCGTGACGATGGAGGCCGTGCCCAATCTAATGCTCTTCCTCTTCCTCTTCCTCTTCCTTTCAATCGTCTCGACTTTCAGCGCTGAATCTGATTATGTTCGTCCTCAGCCCCGCCAGACTCTGCATTTTCCATTGAATCCGAAATCATCTTCTCAACCTCGGCAGGTTTCATTTCCATTTTGTTCAACTTTCGTTATGATTTTCTATGGAAACGATTGAGATTTCATTGTTGTTATATCATATTTTTGAAGTCTCATTGTGAATCCATGCTTGATTTTGCATTAGTTCGTTCCTTCTAGGTGAATCGAATTCTGGTTGCCTTTTCCTCAATTTACTCGGACCAGTTGAATCTTGGTATCTGCTATGATGCTATCATTTCTTTGTCGCTGAGATATTGTAGTTGCCTTTCTACGCTTGGTGTTCATTTTTCCTGGATTTGGCAAATTTATTGTTCTTACTGGTGAAAAAAGAAGAACAAATGATTAAATACAATCTAATCTATTAGCTTATGCTTTTAGATTTAGCAACAGGAGGTTCGATAAAGCCCTGTTAAGATTGAAGATCATTTGTTGAATTTTGTACTAGTTTTCAAGTCTAGAAGTAAAAGAGAATGCTAAGAATATGATAAATGATTGTGTTCCAAGTTGGTTGGGGAGGAGGACAAAACATTCTTTATAAGGTGTGGAAATCTCTTCTTAGCCGATGTGCTTTAAAAACTTTGAGGGGAAGCTCAAAAGGGAAAACCCAAAGAGGACAATATCGGCTAGCGCTGGAATTGGGCTATTACAAATGGTATGAGAGCCAGACACGGGGCAATGTGCTAGCGAGGAGGCTGAACTCTGAAAGGGGTGGACATGAGGCGGTGTGCCAGCAAAGACGCTGGACCTTGAAAGGGGTGGATTGTGGGGTCCCACATCGATTGGAGAAGGGAACGAGTGCCAGCGAGGACGCTAGGTCTCGAAGGGCAGTGGATTGTGAGATCCCACATAGGTCGAGGAGGAGAACGAAACATTCTTTATAAGGGTGTGGAAACCTCTCCCTAGCAGACACGTTTTAAAAACCTTGAGGGGAAGGCCGAAAAGGAAAGCCCACAAAAGATAATATCTGTTAGCGGTGGGCTTGGGCCGTTACACAACCTATCAACCGAAGCTGTTAGGTACAGTCGTGATTTAACACATTTGAGTTGCATTTGCGTGATGTATTGCACTATTCCTTGTAGGTGCATATCTCTCTAGCAGGGGACAAGCATATGAGGATCACATGGATTACTAATGATCATTCTGCTCCCTCTTTTGTTGAATATGGGACACTACCTGGAAACTATACTTCTGTTTCTCAAGGAGAGAGCACCTCATACACTTACATTTTGTACAAGTCAGGAAAGATACACCACGCAGTAATTGGGCCTCTAGAGGCCAGCACAGTTTATTACTACCGATGTGGTGGGGAAGGTTCTGAGTTCCAGCTGAAAACTCCTCCTTCCCAGTTGCCAATCACTTTTTCAGTGGCAGGGGATCTGGGCCAAACTGGATGGACCAAATCAACATTAGACCACATTAATCTGTGCAAATATGATGTGCTTCTACTTCCAGGTGACCTATCCTATGCCGATTACTTGCAGCATCGGTGGGACACGTTCGGTGAGCTCGTGGAGCCTCTTGCGAGTACGAGACCGTGGATGGTAACTCAAGGGAACCATGAAAAGGAGAGCATAATTCTATTTAAGTCTCCATTTGACTCGTATGATGCAAGATGGAAGATGCCATTTGAGGAGAGTGGATCGAGTTCGAATCTCTATTATTCTTTTGAAGTTGCTGGAACTCATGTGATTATGCTTGGATCGTACACTGATTATGATGAATCCTCAGATCAATATGCATGGTTGAAGGTTTGTAAACTTCTAATTTCCTTTCAGATTGAATCTTTTACTAGTTGATAATGAATATGGAGTTGAGAGAGTTAGCCAGTCGAGAGAAAACTGTTTAATGCTATTGAAATAACTCTTTAGGTGAGATTCTACAGTTATTTCAGAATAGAATTCTCATTTTTTTTTGAAGTACAGGAACAAATAGTTTAATTAGATTGGAATACTCATTGAGAAGAAGTACGTGAGATCCCACATCAGTTGGGGAGGAGAACGAAGCATTCTTTATAAGAGTATGGAAACCTCTCCCTAGCAGTCACGTTTTAAAAATCTTGAGGAGAAGCCCGAAAGGGAAAACTTAAAGAAGACAATATATGCTAGTGGCGGGCTTGGGCCGTTACAAATGGTATTAGAGCCAGACACTGGGCTATGTGCCAACGAGGAGGTTGAGCCTCAAAGGGGGTGGATACGAGGTGGTGTGCCAACAAGGACAATGGGCCTCGAAGGGGGTAGTAGATTGTGAGATCCCACGTCAGAACAAAACATTTTTTATAAGTGTGTGGAAACCTCTCCCTAACAAATGCGTTTTAAAAACTTTGAGGGGAAGCCCGGAAGGGAAAGCCTAACGAAGACAATATTTGTTAGCGGTGGGCTTGGACCATTACAAAGTTTAGGAAACTTTTTAACACGATTATATGAACACTAGTAAATAACAATCAAAGCCTACGGGAAATGATTCAGCTACAGGAGGACTGAGATATTTTTTTGTTCAATAGGCTGATCTTGCAAAGGTGAACAAGGAAAGAACACCCTGGCTAGTAGTGTTATTCCATGTGCCATGGTACAACAGTAATAAAGCTCATCAAGGTGAAGGTGCAAGCATGATGGCAGCCATGGAGCCATTGTTATATGCAGCTGGTGCAGACATAGTAATTTGTGGCCATGTCCATGCTTATGAACGCTCGGTATCTTCTCTTCGTCCTATTCGAACATTTGATGGGTTGCTTTTTCTCCTCTACTATTATCCTTTGATTCATGATCACTCTATTGCAGAAACGTGTGTATGCTGGAAAATCTGATCCTTGTGGTGCTGTGCACATAACTATTGGCGATGGAGGAAACCGAGAAGGTTTAGCTCACAGGTAAGGGATCACTTTAACACAAAGTTCAAACACCAAATAAACACAAATTTAAAAGTCGAGAACATGAAAACGTTGAACCATACTTCATATCTAAATGATAAGGGACGACTTCTTAAAGCAAATGTATAGTAGACCAATTTGGTTCGAGTTTTATTGTGTTGGTTGTATTCGATAGGTACATCCCACAGCCTGAATGGTCGGTGTTTCGAGAAGCTAGTTTCGGGCATGGGGAGCTGAAGATAGTGAATTCAAGTCATGCATTTTGGAGTTGGCATAGAAATGATGATGATGAACCAGTGAAGTCTGATCAAGTATGGATAACCTCATTGGCAGCCTCTGGTTGTGCCGCTGAGAAGAACCATCAACCGAAGAAATTCACATGAAGCTCCTCTCGGCTCCATTGTAAATAGTTTGTGTGAACATATAGATGCATATACATATATATGTTGTATATGTATATATCACCCTATTTACATATAATTTGATATATTTTACCAAATTACAAATTTAGTCGATCTGTCCGAAGAACTTCAAGATTTAACTTTTGTCGTTAAAGTTGATTCGAACCTTATAAATAGTTTCCGTAGTTTGATAAAACCGTCCTAAATAGTCCTTATAAATTAAATTTTAATTTTTAAAAAGTTAAATTACAAATTTAGTTTTGTACGTGAATTTTCAAAATTCTTATATGTTTTTTAATGGGGTATTTAATAGGTTTCTTAAAAATATGACGTTTTTATAAAATTAATTGATTTATTAAATAGAAATTTAAATTTTATGTTTAATAAAACTCTAAAATTTAATTTTGTATTTTTATTTTATTTTTGTTGTAGATTTATGATTTTTTTTTTTAATGAAAATTTATGCATTAAATTTATAACTTTATTTTGTATTTTTATTTTATTTTTGTTGTAGATTTATGATTTTTTTTAATAAAAATTTATGCATTAAATTTATAATTTTAAAAGTTATAGATCAAATTTGTAATTTAATATTTTTTAAATTTATAAATTGACGGTTAAAATTATATTAGACATAAAAATTTAATTTTATATCTAATAAATTATATAATTGTTTTTTTAAAAAATTAAATATTAGATATAAAATTAAAAGTCTATTACACATTTTAAAAAATAAACTCGTAATTTATGGACTTTTGGGTGAAGTTAGGCGAGGGTAATTATGACATTTTGAAGATAAGATAGGGGTACTATGGTAAAATATGTTGATGGCGTGTGGACAGTCAATTTTGACCTGTGGCGTCCCACGCGCCATATAGCTGATGAGGAAATTGAGAAGAACTGAAAAATCCTCCTCATTCCCTCTTCGATCTGTGAAATTAGAGAGGAAATCACTCAGTTTCTGACATTCTCGGAAAGCCCAACCGGGAACGATGCATGATTTCTGCTTCACAATTCCTTATGGATTGATTTTGGTGGGTGGTGGCATTTTTGGCTACCTCAGGAAGGGGAGCACAGCGTCGCTGGCTGGAGGTGTGGGTATTGGATTGGTTTTGATTCTAGCAGGATATTTGAGCCTTGGAGCTTTCAAGAAGAAGAAGAACTCCTACCTTGCTCTGATTCTTGAAACAGGTATTTGGTTTTGAAATTCTCGTTTCCATGTTTGACTGTTCGTGTTTGATCTTGTTTTTTGTTCTTCTGGGGTTGAAGATCTTGTTTGAAACTAGTGATCCTACTAGTTTTCTCTATTATAGAACCTTGATCAATCGGATCCTCTCCTCTCAATATGTTACTTCGTTTCGGATTTCCTTTTTGATGTTTTAGTGTTCTTGTTTCTGCAAACTAGAGACGCTTATATCGTGAGGTTTTGGCTGTTTAATCTATACTGATGGAATCGATTAGACCATACATTTATATGTAAACTCTGTTAAATAAGTTACGAAGTTCATTTTGTTTCGATTCGTATTACTGTTCTGTTCTTCAGCTAGCTTAAATTGTTAAGAAGGCCGCTACACACCATGCTTAGACATGGCATATGGACATTTCAAAACATGGTTGGCTTTCCAGAACTTGAGGATTGTGGGGAACTGATGTAAATAAACCATATATATTTCTTGTGTGTGTGTCTGTAAAATGGTTAAGTCTCAAATGATTCAGATCTAGGGGCCTAGTGTCCTTGCTGGGGCAATCTCAAATACCATTTGTAACCGCCCAAACCCTGCATTTGTGACTACTAGAGGAAGCTTTTTGTAGTTCCTTGGCTTTTGGTTATGTTCATTCATGTATTTCATTCCTTCAATGAAATTGGTTTCTTATATTAGAAAGGAAAAGAATGGTAGCCACCAATTTTCAATGTTCTTTTCATTATACTGATCCACCAATTTTCTAAGTCACGTTAGCCATAAGTTTACTTTAGCACTGGGGTAACAATGACATAATTTGCCTTGAAACAGTATGTGCCGCTGCACTCACGTGGGTCATGGGACAGCGATATTTGCAGACTTCTAAGATCATGCCGGCTGGAGTTGTTGCTGGAATCAGGTAACTCGATCTTCTTCTAAATTCAAGCGATGCGTTTCTTTCGACTGAAACTAAACCTTTTCTTCTGCTGTTGATATCTCAATCAAAAGAACATAGCAATGCTGTATATAGTATAGTTTTTCGTTGGTTACCTTCTCCATAGCCAAACTCATATCTGGATATCCAAACTTGAAGTGCTTTCTAGAACTCTGAAGTCACCTGGTTTTATGTATGACACAAGGTCAATATTTGAGGTTCTTGGAGCTAATACACATTTTACACTTCCGTTTTGTTACCCTTGCAGTTCTATCATGACTTTATTCTACTTGTACAAGCTCGCAACTGGTGGCAACCATATTTCTCCCAAGGCCGAGTGATGATTTCGATTGCTTACTTTGGTACTTGATATAGAAAATGCATTGGATCACACGAAAAACTCGAACAATGTTTTAATGCACTGATTTGCTGTTTATTGCTAACTCTGTGAATGTCGACATATAAACTGAATGAATGTTCGTTAGTGATTATAAACAAGTTGGGGTTAAAAGCTTACAGAGTTCTTGTTTCAAATATATCGTGTTTCATCGGCTGATCTCTGAGTTGTGATGTCGCTTGACAAGTCTGTCCTTTTACATGTGTTCTTTCTTGGAATCAAATTTTCTGGGAAATCTTTGGATTATATTACAAGTTTTAGTTTATTCTCTTCGTCTCTGTCATTAGATTTATAGCTCTGAATCGAACTTACTGGTTGCTGAAGAATGAATGAATCTTACTGACATTTTCACATTGTGGATTATATTTACAAGGTCTTTTAGGCAGAGGATGCACCAAAACACTATTTGAAACCTTTAATTTGGAGGGAACTAAGACAGCATGAGGACAAGATGTAAGGTTCTTGCCCGGTTCTTGAACTTTTAAGATTTATGAGTTTCACTTTTAATAGAAAAGGAAACCTTAGACATGTTACTCATTTCATCGAGACGTAAAAATGATGGTACACGAGATCTATTGGTCAAACAACTCGTACAAACATTGAAGGGGAACGCCTTCAAACAAGTACACTAACTTGGAGCCTGAAGCCAATTGGAAACTATTTGTAGCACAAAACTAATACATAGCATGTTTGAGCTCACTACACTAGGCAATGAAAAGGTAAATTTGTTGTCAATTATATAAATCGTTAGAAAACCATGAATCTCGAATGATAAAAGATCAACACACTGAACTATTTATAATCGAAATGTGTATTCAAGGCATGCATTGGGGACTTTCAAGGTATGAAGTCTCACACCTTTAAAGAATTAGCAACTCGTGGCCACAATATGAATATGAAGCTTAGTATTGCTAGTTATTGAGATAAAGATATTTTACTTTTACACATAAGAAACAAACGAAAAAAACACAGGAATCCTAAAAACGACGAGAAAATGAAACCCGTTTGAAGGAAAGAAAAAAAAAACTATTTTTTTCTTAATCATGTCATTCCTACCATATACGAACATCTATTGGGCACACAAATGACCGGAGTTCCAAAGTGTAAGTGGCTAAAAGAAATAGAAAAAATCAATGTTCCCAACTACTAAAGATATTATCGAGTTGTCGGTCACTTAATGGAGAAATATTTTGTCCTAAAAAACGAACACCTTGGAGTCTCAAGAGATTAATATGAAAGAAAGACGAACACCGTAGAGTAATAAAAAGATTCACAACAACTTCCCTTCATCATTTTAACAAATCTTACAAATGAATGATCTGATCATGATAAAGATACGAGCAGCTGACAATTGAAGAAGTCAAACAGACATACGTGCATTCCTCATGATCTTAAGGCATATGATCATCAAATTAACAGCTATTTTACATTGGGAATCGTGTTTAGTGTATTTACAGTTCATATTATTAACTTTTAGCAGCTACACTGATGAACTACTTAAAATCATCAAATATTCTACACAGACTACCCAAAGGAAACCAAATTTCAAGAGGTTTCTAGCAATTATTTGGACGGTAATACTCAGTTGGAAGAGAAGGGCACCTTTCGTTCATATTATGATAGGGATCGATGCTATTATAACCCGGTAAATCCATTCGATACTTTCCGAGAATCTGGCAATATGGAAGCTTGACATGATCCCCTCCATGACACCACTTCGGAAGGCGACTCGAATTGTTCTCGTAAAAGTTGAGCGTATATGCATCTTTTAGCTGTATTTTAGATGGATAGAACATCAAACACTCAAACCACATTCAAGCAGATAAACAACATTAGCCTCACTAATTCTGTAACTTACTGTGAATTCTGTAACTTGAATCGAGTTTGCGAGTGGTCCGAACAGCCCAGCCGCCTTGTACATTTCAAGGACAAACGCAACACAAGATGCTGATTTCCCGTCGGCATAGATCCAATCATCCTGTTCAGGAATAGCCAGTAGTTCGCCAAAAGATGATCCTTGCTTTTCAACTTCAACTAGAATCTCAGGAAGGTCAAGATCCTGCAACGAGAAAAGAAAACGACTAAACATATTCAACTCCACGATGTGGAATACATTGCTCCGATGACGAAGGAACAAGATCGATTGCAGGTTAGAACAACTTCAACTAGAATTCGCTAGCTAATTCTAACTAAACCCATCTAAATTTGACTTATTTAAGGTAATAACAGTTAGAATGAAGGAACAAGATCGATTGCAGTCATACTCCGACAACGGCTAAACCTAAGCTTTCTTCATTTTAACCAGACAAGCATTATAACTACCTTTGTTCCAAGACGTATGTTCAGAGCCTCATTCCACAAGTTCGCCGCAAGGGTTGGCCGGACTTGTTTCCATATTGTCATAGCGGAAGCAACCTGTAGTCCAATAGTGCCAACAATCAAAGCCAAAGAATTACATTATCCTTTAGGAGCTGCCATGGCAGGAGCCATGCTGATTACTGAGAGCCAAGTTAAATATTAACATCCTTAAGAAAAGTTTATGGGCATCCCAAAAAAAGCACAAAAAGAAAGGGAATCAAGCTAAAAAACATCCTCCAATCAAGTAAAATGAGATCTAATGGGCAATTACATCATTTGTAACGTCCCAGGCCCACCGCTAGTAGATATTCTCCTCTTTGAGCTTTCCCTTACGGTCTTCTCCTCAAGGCTTTAAAACGCGTCTATTAGGGAAAGGTTTCCACACCCTTATAAAGAGTGTTTCGTTCTCCTACCCAACCAATGTGGGATATCACAGTCATCGAAGCCCACAAACACAGAGACAGCGGAATAACATATAGATTTTCGGTTTCGATTTACACACTCCCTTTTTAGTCACGTTGATAGGATGAATGCATTCATTGGAATCTAGAACTGTAACGACTCAAATCCACCGCTAGCAGATATTGTCCTCTTTGGGCTTTCCCTTTCGGGCTTCCCCTCAAGGCTTTAAAACACGTCTACTAGGGAAAGGTTTCCACACCCTTATAAATGGTGGGTTTGTTCTTCTCCCCAACCAATGTGGGACATCACAAGAACAGTACAACTAGGAATTAACATGGTATCAGATGGGCGTTCAAGGGAGGTGGATGCATCATTACTAACAGCTCGAAACCTTAAGATGAAGAAAACAGTAAAATAAGTAAATATTTATACCAGATGGGCATCCAAGGGAGGTGGATAGTTTCCATGTGTGGTATCAATCCAGCTAAATATCAAGTTATGATATCCATATGGTTTCCCGACCATGCTCCTTACATACTCCCACGCCGCCGTCTCGTTAAGCTTTGCCCGCAAGTCGGGATGCAAGGGAAGAAACGCAATGTGGGGATTGGACGAATCGTTGTTGAGTTCGTAGTCCCACCATTTATCCCATGGCAAAACATCAATAATATCATCCTCCTGCAAGAAGATTAAGAGCACACATTTGTAATCTTTGGAGCACTCACAGTTATGTCAAACAGATTAGGATTCATAAACATACCACTCCATTTCCACGCCCAGATTCAGCAACCCATAGCTTTCCTTCAGGGTCCCTTAAGCAAACAGCAGAATGACCAGCATATGATCCAGTAACCCACTTCTGCAAAGTCTCAAAAGCGCCCCACGGACCGCGAATTTTGGATAGAGCTAAAAAATCTCCGGATTGAATATCATCAACATTAACACTTGTAGTCCATGGATGAGGACGTTCCTCAAAGGTAGCACCCATGTGATTCTCAAGAAATTTGATATTCGATTTCTCGCCGTAGTCGGTCGTCGAAAACAAAGGGAGCACATCAAACAATGCTTGAAAGGTTTTCAACACCCCAGCTTGCAAAAGGAAAATCGAAACCCCTGCCTTTTTAACCTGATTTCAGAAGAAACAACCGAGGTTTAAAAAGAAGTTGCTTAGTTTAAGAAAGTCGTCTTGTCGACGAGCAACTTACGTATTCGAATTCTTCCTTTCCTTCCCATTCTGCAATCTCAAGAGTATGTTCTCTGGCCAGGAAATAGTAATCCCACGTCACACGGTACGGAGTAGCGAAGATATAAAAATCCATACACGTCCAACTGTGTGCATCGTTCGCCTGCATACGACATAGACTAATTGTTGAAGCTGCATTAAACTTGCAACTGGCAGTCATATCCTTCAAACATGCTAGAGGGCTGCAACAACAAGATAATACTAATAACAGCTAACTCTTTGTTATTTGGCTAATCACTATCGTTCAAGCCCACCGCTAGCAAGTATTGTCTTCGTTCGGCTTCCCCTTTCGGGGTTCCCCTCAAGGTTTTAAAACGCATATGCTAGGGAGAGGTTTCCACCCTTATAAAGAATGTTTCGTTCTCCTCTCCAACCGATGTGCGATCTCACAATCCACAACCCGAAACCAAAGATCAAAAAACACACAAACAAGCTTTTAAGATGAACTTAGTTTTCTATAAAGATCAAACACAAAAAAACAAATAAATGAAGGATTGCCAGGGCATCCACAGTTCATAAAAGCACAAACAAATAATCCAAAGGGAAAAAAATCTCGGGTTGATCAATTCTATCTAGCAAGATAAATGATACGGATCATATGAACTTCGAGCTTAATTCTTCCAACATACGAACTGCTATCAAACTTATAAATGAATCAAGAACTCACAAACTCAAATTAGGTTTATCTTATCGAATTAACGGCCCTACACTGTCGGGAAGCAGAAATTCAGCTACAATACAATGAACAAACAACACAAGATTCTGTCCGAATCTCCTAATTGATATCAAAAGCACAAAATCAAAACTAAAACAAAGTTCGTATCGACCTTTATATGGAGCGTACCACCGCCATATTCAGAGCCAGACTTATTATGAAACTCGAGCCACGCAGAGTTCTTATAGAAGCAAGACCCTTGCCACTGAATAGAGTTCTCAGGAGACGAGACACTTCCGACGAAAGCGGGAAGAAGATCGGCGGCGTTGTTGAGATAGTTGAGAATCGGCCATGAAACCTGGCTGGGTAGTAGCGGAAGCACGTCGCGAGGGTCAAAAAACGATTTCAAAGCCAGGGATTGCGAAGGAAGAAGAAAACCCACGATGGAAACAAGAAGAAAAGTTCTGGGAATCGAAGAACACGAAGAAGCCATGGATGGAATATTCAAGAAATTAGGGGAAGAGAGTAATTTGAAGAATGGAGTGAAAGAGATTGGCAGATGAAGCACGCAATGGGTTACAAAAGATTGGGAAAGCGATTACGCAATTTTTCATTTGATTCTTCAGTCAACCATTGGCTTCGATTCATGTGATAATCGGCAAAGTTTTGGAGATTACGTTATGATTATATGAACCATTGCCGTAAATGGGTGGAGCTCAACTTATAACATTGCTGGTTCAAAACAGCTCACAATCATAAATCATAACCAAACATAGCTCGACCCAGATTCATATCAGTTCATGAGTTAAAGTTTTGATTCGATCAACTAAAAAAATGAAATAAGGTTACAATCAAATTCAACTTTATTCTACTTTTATAAAATTATTAAGAAGATTAAGAATATTTACTTTTATAAAGGAACGGCTCATTATAACTATTAAATTATAATTGAATTAATAAATGTTTAGTTGTAAAATTAAAATTTGTGTAAGTGAAAAGGGAAGATTGTTATAGTCAACCTCGATACAGTTTGACCTTTGCCTCTCTCTCTCTCTCGGGAAAATAAATTAGAATCATTATAATTCTTTACTTTGTTTTTGTCTCTATCTCGATTCTTCGTGATTAGAACAAAATAAATTTGCACAAGTCCAATAACTGTTGTCTTGATTCATTTCCGAACTACATTTTAGTCGAGTGACTGTTTGAAATTTTGACTTCCTTTATATATTAAGGTTGTTTCTTAAATACGATATTGTTATAAATCAGTCACATATTATTTAATATTACACAAATAATTTTCATGTATTAAATAATTTAATAGTATAAATAAATAATAATAATTTATTTCAGAAAACAATATTCACCAAGAAAATAAAATTTTGGTGTGACATAATAAATAAAATAAAGTTTGGCATTAAAAACGAAAGTGAACCAGCATTTAATTATTGTAATATCAATATTACTTGTAATTTTTCTTTTAAATATTAAGAGAAAACCATTATATTTCAACTAATCAGAGTGGCGCAGCGGAAGCGTGGTGGGCCCATAACCCACAGGTCCCAGGATCGAAACCTGGCTCTGATAGAGAAAGGCTTCCGTTATTAGTTTTTATTCTTTCTGGTTTTTTTTTTTGGTATTAATCGAATTGGGCCCGATTTAGAGGGAATTGAGCCCATTGGATTTAGGCATTGGGCTTCGACCTTCTGCTGAAGCAGTCCGATAAATATGAAATTATGAAATTAGAGTTTTAATTTATTGAATTAAAAAAAATAAATTCCTCATTTTTATTTGTTATTAGACATGGTCACGTGGTAAATAAAAACTCTTATTAGAATATGCAATAGAGACTTTACAAAACGTGATTATCGATAAAATAAAAAGAATTAACTCATAACAAGAGAACGAAATTTTTGGGTCGGGATCATCTAACCAAGCCTTTTTACGAGTCCTATCAATCTTTCACGCTTGTGTTCGCTATACTAGAGCGGAGTTCTTACATTCATCATGCTTTGTTGAATTTAGTAAGCTTTCTTACTCATGTTTTATCGAGACTCATCATGAAACGTACCTTAAGTTTATGGGCCATTGAGATTAATCAACCAAACCTTTTAGAGATTCAATCAACAAGGTCCCAAATTTTAGGACTCTGTTTGGATTAACTACTTAGAGTTCATAATTAAAATTTTATTGGTTAAATCTTATACAAACCGATAAGATACAAAATGGATCTTGTTCTATCATTGATCAGAGATTTCTCTATGAACAATACGAATGGGAGTTTGAAGAAGGAGAAGGAGAAGGAGAAGGAGTCCTCGACCCGCAAAAGATAGAGGAGGATTTATTCAATCACATAGTTTGGGCTCCTAGAATATGGCGCCCTTGGGGCTTTCTATTTGATTATATCGAAAGGCCCAGTGAATTGGGATTCCCCTATTGGGCTAGGTCATTTCGGGGCAAGCGGATCATTTCTGATGAAGAGAATGATTCGGAATTCTTGTAGAGTGGAACCATGCAGTACCAGACAGAGATAGATCTTCCAACGAACAAGACTTTTTTCGAATAAGCCAATTCATTTGAGATCCTGCAGATCAACTCTTTTTCCTATTCAAAGATCATTCTTTTGTCTTTGTGTTTTTGCATCGAGAATTCTTTGTTGACGAAGAGATGTCAAAGGGGCTGCTTACTTCCCAAATATATCTTCCTATATGTATATATAAACGCTGGTTTATCAAAGGGGCTGCAAGAAAAACACTTCGGATTGTTGATTTTGTATATGATATTCTTACTCACATATCTCAACGTGATTTATTTAGATTACATCATTTGTAGTTATTACAAAATGAGCCGTACCGATAGTGTTATCAAAATCAAACATCTAATTTTATCCGTACATTATAAATAATTTATATTATTTATGTAATATTATTCTTTTGTAGGTCAACTCAACAAATATTTTATAATTTCTCAGGTAATGAATAATTTTATACTGCAAATAAAAAGAAAATTGATTTCTATATATGTAATTGAAATAATAAATAATGTTTAGTATTGTAAATCAACAAATCAGAGTGGCGCAGCGGAAGCGTGGTGGGCCCATAACCCACAGGTCCCAGGATCGAAACCTGGCTCTGATAGAGAAAGGCTTCCGTTATCTTTTTTATTTTTCGACGTGTTTTTACTTTTTTTTTTTTTCTTTTGGGTATTAATGGAATTGGGCCCAACCGATTTAGAAGACATTGGGCTTCGGCCTTTTGATGAACCGGCTCCGATAAAAATGATCTTAAAAATTAATGTGAAATATTCATTTTTTTAATTTATATTTAAAATTAAATAATTATATTTATTAAAACAAAGCATACACGTCATAATTATTATTTGTGAAAAATAGTTTTAAAAAAATTATTTTAATTTTTTTTATAGACTTAATTGTTTAAAAAAATTTAAAACTATTTTAATTTTTTTTATAGACTTAAATGTTTATAAATTATTTTTAAATTTAATAATAAAAAAAATGATGACATAGTTGAAAACGAAAAAAAAAAAAGACATCATTGATTTATCTTAACATAAAGACTACAACTTAAACGCCTGCCGGTAATTTGATTTCATGTTCTCCTGAATTGATGTTGTCGTTCGTCCGTGAGACTCTTGCCTTTATATAGAAAAATGTTAAATGTGTTGAAGTATTTAAAAATACTCAATATGTGACCTCATTGTTAAGGTCGAAAAATAAAATCATATGCCATCATGCTTCATGGTGAAACTACTTTTCATGACTCTCTATTAGACTCTACTTTCTTCTCTAGGTAAGTTGGCTAAAGACGGTTCATGCACGTGTTCATAAACCTACTAGGTGGGCTTTTAAACGTACCCACTAGATTTGACTAAAGGTTAGCGCATTCTCACATTTACAAGCGATTGGCGCAGATAATTGTTTTATGCTTCTAAGCATTAACTACAACTAAGTGAAATTTTTATGTAAGAAGAAAAAACAAGACTTCGTTAGATAGAGAAGATCACCAAGATTTCGTGATCTGCTGCCGAACTTTGCTAGATGTCAAAATAGCATATATTTGGGTAGGAAGAATTAACGACTACTCGTATTTCTATATAATACATTTTGAGGCATTTTAAGTCTACTAGGTATAAACATGATTTTACCGAAACGTCGTACTCTAATATTACAAGCTAATACAACAAGAAAGAAATAAATAAATATAACATATATATAAGAGTTTGGTCGCAAACAACACGTTTTGAACAAGCATGACCGTCACACTAGTCAGATGAAAAAAAAAATTTTATAGGATTCTCGCTCCAACTTTATAATATATGTTTTTTCCTTTTTTTTCTTTTTTTTTTTCATTTTAACACAATATTTATAATCAATCTGATAAAATTAAAGATAAATTTAAAAGAATATTGAAGAAAAAATAAAAAGGAACCAACATGCAACTACCAAGCATTATATTTAGAAAACCTTCATAGATATAAATAAAAAATATAAACTAAAATCAACAAATCAGAGTGGCGCAGCGGAAGCGTGGTGGGCCCATAACCCACAGGTCCCAGGATCGAAACCTGGCTCTGATAAAGAGAAGAAGGCTTCCGATTTTTTTTATTTTCGACCGATGTTTACTTTGTATGGGGTATTAATGGAATTGGGCCCGTTGGATTTAGAGGGCATTGGGCTTCGGCCTTTTGCTGAACCATCTAAGATAATATTAAATTTAAATTCATAAAACTTTTAAATTTCTCCCTTTTTTTATTTATTAAATTAAAAGCATAAGTTTCAAAATTATATTTTCAATTTTTAGTTTAATAAATTTGAAAATTTTTATTTATTTTTTAATTAATCTTTCCTTTCTCCATATTTATTAAAAATTTCTAAAAAAATTAAGATTAATTAGACACAAAATTAAAAATTAGAGATACAAATATATATTTTTTTAAATCTACAAATTTGAATTTGGTTAAAAAACGATATAAACACTAATATAAAATTAATGTATAAGTTTATAAATTTTTTTCTCTTTTTTTATATACATATATTTGATATTTCAAATTATTTAGTTATGGTATTATTTAAATTATTATTATTATTATTATTTAGCATTTAATTTGAACTTTTTAACTATTAATAGTTAGGTTGACTTTCTTTTACTTATACTAATAAATTCTTTTGTATATTAATATTAATGTTTATTTATTGTGTATTTGAACGTGTAAATGAATGTTAAATGATATTTTAATTTAGATGAGAAAATAGATGGAGATTATATAATTATTGTGTATTTGAACGTGTAACTGAGTGTTAAATGATATTTTAATTTAGACGAGAAAATAGATGGAGATTATATAATTAATTTAAGAAATTAAATGGGTATATAAAAGTAAGGAAGGAAATAAATAATGAACCCGACCAACTCAACCATCAATTTTTTAGGCTGTATTGATTTTTATCATTTATTCAAATTTTTGTTTTTAATAAATATAAAAATCTTAGTTACTTTATTTATTTATCTTCAAATTAATCAAGATTTACCTTAAATTCTAATATTTCGAAATTTTACTTTTCTAAAATGGTTAAAAATAAATTTTGAGGGGTAGAAGAATAAATAGTAAAAGAATAATTACGAAAGGAAATAAATATATGTACCTATGATTGTAGTTTAGCAAAA